TGGCACAACATTTTTGCGACTATCATTTGTTCATTGATTTGCTAATAATAATCGATATCAATTGACTAATTAGCATCGATTATTATCGATTGACCGATATTTGGATTTCCAATGATTGTTTCTCATTGATTAGGTAAACCGAGTTTACATTACTGTATTAAACATTCAGGGCTTGAAATAACGTTCCCAAAGTCCCTGATCATGGTGATCGGCAGTCATGACTTTCCCTGCTTTTTCAGGTTGGAAACCCTGCTTTTCCGCCGATCATAAGCAATTTCTTGCCGATCATTGATCGGTGCCGATCATTGATCAGTGATCGGCTGTTTATATTTCAAGCCCTGACATTTAAAATGTTAAACCCCTAAAATTTGTACTTTAGATATCTATCTATATTTATTAAATGAAAATAGAATATACAGATTTAGTACTCATACTGTTAGAATCAATGCAACAAACACAAGATACTACAATATTTCATTATTATTAAAAATGAATCGTGATCCTCTTCATCGGTTTATCAGAAGTGAGTCAGAACACAAGCAATCAGTTCATAGCGCTTGCAGTGATCACAGCCAGGAACATAGATATTACACGTTAATATAAGTAATACATACCGTAAGATTGTTTATAGTATCACATGAATCCACAAAATAATAAATATTTGGCTACACAAATCTGGCAATAAATTGAAATATTAAAACAAGAGAACGATCGATCATCGATGTTCACTATTTCGCGGTTGTTTAGAAAGCGCGCCAAAATAAACTCGAGCCCGCAATCTATATTACGCACAACCTGTACTTCATCTTTGGAGAATATTATGATCCAAATCATCCATAACGTGTCAGGGGGCGGGAAATTCTGGCAAATGCTAGGAAAAATCAAGAAAATTCGGGCAGATTCATCAGAAAATATGTTAAATTCTGGTTATTTCATTACAATCCTCCATAAAAATTAGGGCAAACTTTCAACTGCCCTCCCCCCGCAAAGCATCACCCCATGCGCCTATGTCCCTTATAATAAATTAGGGCCTGAATTTCAGGTTACTTATATCCCTATTCTGTGATTCTTACGGAGAGACTGGATGGTGAATTTTTTAATCTCTGTAAAAATCCCCGATAAGCTGTGAAGTAATATTTCGATCAAATCCGCTGACTGAATGATGACTGGACTACTGTTTCAAGTCCGCGCAATTTGATCAAGTCCGAGACGAAGCCGAGTCTAGTCGAGTCCGAATTGGCGGATTTGAAATGACATCTCATACGAATAAATCACTACTTAAAGTGAGTGAGTTAATTTTGATCCAGTCCTAGCGACTGGATCAGTATACTCACACCAGGTATCCAGTATTATCATGTGAGCAAAGTAAATAATTTATTATCATGAATTATTAATGCGGTTTGAGATACGTATCGGAAACCCACAGGCCACAGGCATCAATCTAGTATATTGTGGGGAACGGCATCAGTTGGAACGGCAAGTTCCAACCTGATTATACAACAAATTAATTATATTTTCACGAAGACACAGCTCACAATCTCACAAGATTAAAACATATACTCATTCACTTATCTTTTAGCACAACATGATTATGTGAGTATGACGCAGTTCGTATAATAATAAGATCTGGATGAACACGGATCGTGAGGGCAATTTCCGACATAGCATATAGTTAAAGTTTGACACTCACCCCTGAGTGCCTGCTCCTGGTTAGGTCTGCCCGTTTAAATAAAAAACACTCCAAATTTTCATCTACAGTATACAGATTTACAGTCTATACAGAGAACCCTTCGAGATATATAACATTATATTAGAACACTTGAAAAAATCATAATTAACTGGCTCGTTCTGGGCCTTATTCTAGACTCGCTCCGAATATCTCGCAGACCCTAAAATAGAAATATTTTCCCAAACTTTTCACATTCAATGGAGTGGAGCCATCATTTGGGGCTATGGCTGGTATTCTACCGGTACCGATTTTCTGGTTATTCTAAAAGGGCCATTCACACGTGAAAGTTTGCCGTTAGCCGTAAACGTCAATCTTAAGTATCTATTCAAAACGCAAAAACTACAAGTGATCAAAAGTAAGATTGTAAGAACTCCATAAAAGGTAAGAAATTAAGAACAACAAGACAAACGAGCGGTGCGTATGAACGCAAATAATGCACTTTTTATAACACATTAACGTGTTGCTGATTGAAATCAATTATATGTCCTGATGGCTGATGCAGTGTATCCCAAAAAGCTATTATGATATCCAAGTTTCTAGAGGCTATCACATGTCTGTGAATTATAAATTGTTGGGGAAATTGTTTTAGATAAGACATTAATTCCATTTAACAAGTTTTTCTACACATGCAAACAAAGATGCAAACCAGATTCGAGCAATATCTTATTGACTGAGGTGTTGGACCTGATCTTCATGAAATCAAAATTACTCTCCATCCCTCCCCATTTCAGAAATGGAGTATCCTATATTAATTATCCACGATGCTCTCACACAGAGATTATTCTTGACGATAATTTAATCTGTCGTTGTCGGTTTCATGTCTGTCATGTTATTAACATCAACCTGGTCCTGGAGGAGTGGACCGGTGTCACAGAATATTTGCCCCTCCCCCCTTCAGATGGAGCAATCTCGTTCCCAAAGTATGCCTGTACGAGATTGCAGATGGGGCGAATTTTCTGGGAATCTCGGCCTCTCAGGGGCGAAATTCGTGGGATATTAATACTCCCTTATCAGAAATTATCTCCCCTATACACAGCGTATTAAACTTCTTAGTAGTTGGTCGAAGACTTGGTTCGACGACATGCGTCGTCGAAGAACTCATGAGCCTTTCACTACTTTACGAACCAATAGTGAACCAACCTCGCAATACTTCTGCTTTTGCATGCTGTCGCGGTGATCGCCTTTTAAATTGAAGGAACTATTTCGTGTGAAAACACAGTTAAACATTTTATTTCGAATCATGACTAAATGACTAATTAAGTATGTTGTGTGCTGTTGCGGAAATTCACTTTCTCCGGTGTGGGGGGGGGGGGCAAAGCCTCCTAAATTTCCGATAAAATTTTCAAATTTCCGACAACCCCCCCCCCCTTTTGCACTCAAAAAGACTGTTTTTAGCCCTCTTTTAGGTCAAAATTTCCGAAAATTCGTCAATTTTCCGTGAAGGTGGGGGGCGGCAGCCCCCCCCCCCCACAAAGATCTCCGCCACTGATTAATGGCATCTTATTAACGGCATTTGCAATTCCATCTTATGTTTGGGATTACGAGAAATTCCTGAAGGAGCTAGAGCGACGCGATATTCCTTGGAAATTCGCCCTCAATAGGGAAGCTAAGAGGTGGGGGGAGGATTTCTTGGGGAACATGCGAATCCCAAGACAAATTTCGTGAATATTGTAATTTCCCTCAAATGTCATGGGGAACACAATCAATGACGTTATTAGAGGTGTCGCAAGACGCTCGTGGTGGCGGGCGCAGGCTTGCAGCGTCGGGCAAAGTTGGGCAAAGTGATTCCGAGGATTTGAGCAAATCAAACCTTAACCGACATGCATTTTTGAATCTCAAAAGAAAAACGTTCTACTAGATATCAGATAGATTTTCAATGATTGCATTTTACCGTAGTAATTAACACAAAATACTACTTCACTTACATTATTTCACATTTTTTAATTCAGTTTTAGAACAATTGATCAACCCAAATTTCAACACGTTCATATCATACCTCAATATTTACAACAATAAATTTTCAACATAACTACAAAATTGGTTTATCGTCTGCTGGCATTTCAACTCGAATACGAAATCACAATAGTGGTCGGTTTCAGTAAGCATTATCGGGCAACAGATGGTGGTCAACATACTGCATCAGAACTGTCAGGTTTTTAAAAGCTGAAGCGCATCCATGTAGGAGCAAACAAACAACAATAAATATCTCTATTTTGTTTATTTACCAACGAAAGGAATAATCATTTTTTCGCTCTGATAACAATGAGTTGAGCACCATTTGTTGCAGGACGGCAGTCGGCTTGTTGAAACCAGTGAGCTCCGTGAATGAGGCCAAGATGGCAGAAATTGAAGAGCTATTGGACGTCATTTCCAGTCCTTTTCTATTGTTTTTGTCTGCGCGGTTAACACGAAGCTGGCTATAGGAGTGTGTCGGAATTTCGTACTTTGACATCGACTTAAAGAATAACATCATGGTTTTATGAACTGATAACTTGTTTAGCGATATCGTCCGTTACAAAAAACTGGATTTAGCTGGGGAGGAGATGGTTTACTACCCTCATAGCTATTGGAGGTCAATTCCACAATCTTGGCTTCACTTTTCTCATAGAGCTCACTGGTTGAAACCCACTGACTGGTTGAAACTCACTGGTTGAAACCCACTGACTGGTTGAAACCCACTGGTTGAAAACCACTTATTAGGCCAGTGTAATTCTTATTTCTATTAATGTTCCCCTTCTTTCGGACGGTTTTCATCACTTCAGCCGGTGTTTTTTTTTTGCATTGCTGTGAGCGACCAGTTGGAATTATTTTTGTCGACGGCTCACGAGTCACAATGGAAAAACCGGCTCGTGGTCAACGTAGAATCACTTGTCTGCTGACGCCATTCGAGTGCTTTCTGCATACGCGCACAACATACGTGAAGGGAAGGAACTAGTAAACGTACTCGATAGCGGATAAAGTGATAGAACACCACGTACAACTTCCATACGTTGCTCATCCCTGACATGAATATCAGTCTAAATTAACGACCTCAATTGATGCGAACGGCTGCCTCTGAGAGAAGCGGCAATCTGTTCGTTGTGGATAGAAACAGTGCGTGAATTGTGGAGCATCAACCTCGCTAAAGTAAATGCTATCCTCATTCCTTAAATCACGCGAGATTGCTCTTTGTAACTGTCGAGATTTCCTGTTCAAGCTCTCCAGCTGTAAATTTCCAATTTCCGATAGTTTCATTCGAAGTTTGTTGAAGTCTGACTTCAAACCTGTTTGCAAAAACCTGAAAGAAGGAATCGTTTTGTGAGACATTTTCAGACTATAATGCGCACGGGTGCTGTTGCCATAGTGGCAGTACACATAGCTTTCACCTATGCGGGGTGTGGCGTCACTGTCGCCAGTGTCACCATGGTTCGATTCATGCCGCTTTTTGTCCAATTAGGAAGAAATTGAGAAGAAAAAGTCGCATATGAGAAGCGTGTTTCCACTAGTATTACCAAACACATCAGGTTTTCTCTGGGTACCTCAGTTTCCTCCTGTAGTAGTAACACCATACCAATAACGGGTAACGTAACAGGATATAGACGGATCCCAGATATTTTTGATCAAGCTATTTTTACTTAAAAGTATGAGTAAACTTGAGTTCCGTTTAGTTTGTACTAGACTGTATATGAAAGCCTGACTGAACTACGTAATATTTCGGACATATTGCAATCATCTTCAGTCGTATTTTAACGTAAACATATAGTTGCCTTAAATCTCTAATGCACCCTACTTGAATGAAGTATGTCTCGTCAAGCGAGGGATGTGGGCATTAATTCGTTAAAATTAACCAAACTAAGTTATCAACACCTCTCCTTAACCCGTTCAACCGCAATGTTCTCCAATGCGCCTTATCCTGTTATTTGAGATTGTCTAATAAACTAAGAGGTCAGACGCTTTTACTTTGCGCTAACAAATTTAGTGGTTTACATCAAAGTGACTCACCTATTGACTAAGAAAGTGATGGGATCTGTAGGTAAATGCGGTGCTGGTGATATCTCTGTGGACATATGAGCAGGTCTGAGCGATCTTGTACAGTAATCCCTCAATAATGCATGAAGCCATTCATTCTTCTTGAACCAATCTACGACTATTTCTCTCCTTTCAAAAAACTGCTTTAGTTGACAGAAGTCGGCGAAGTTTCCTCTATCTAAAAATCGCCTGTTGTGAAAAGATTAAATTAAGTCAGAATGCCATGGAACTTTTCAAGTGGGTGTAACTGGTATACATGTTTAGTGCATAATAGACAATTTCTGAATTTGCTTGAAATTGGACCTGACCATCTGATCCAACAGCATTGAATAGTTTTCAATGCCAACCTCGACATCGTTCTAATATCTTCACTGTACTCAAGCAAATTCAGAAAAGGTCTATATAATTTTAAGATTATTCATTGACATTGACAATTTATCTAATTTTGGATAATCATTCATCATCTGGTTACTAATAATTCATGAAAAATTAGCCAACCATTTCCCATTATTCTGGTTACACAATAACTATTTGATTTAAGACTATAAGCTGCTGTTTCCTAAAACCTAGATTCGAGACCTCGCAATTAGTTCGTCCCGGGCTGGGCTTCGTCATTGGACCGGAGTAAACTATTTGAATTTGAAATCCGGTCCATCTGTCAAGTTCAGATTTAAAAAATTACAACAAAAACTTACTTGTAACACTTGTGTTCTGTAACGACCCGTGATGGTCTGTGTTCTTTCATGTACTCTTGGCCTTTCTTATTTTGCCACAGCCATATTTCGTGCAGTCGTTCAATATATGGCTTGGCCTTGCTAAGGAAGTCATTCAGTGTAATCTGCAACTCTTCAGCCACGCTTGATATCTGTACAAAGAATGCAATGAATAGTTATAATTAACATGATGGGTTTCACCATCATGCGCAGTGTGGCTAATTTTTAAATTTTCATCATAGCTCAAAACGACTGCCTACAGTAACTCAAAATAATATATTGGGAATTGTAAAATTGCAAATGTGAACCGTGAACGTTTGTCATTCCAATACGAATTTAATAAAGAAGTAAACCACAGCTGTGGAACATATATATAATGGGTGTAACTTTCGCAGTATTTTGTGCGGGCTTTCGCGCTGGAAAAGACGCAGAGTAAAGATACAGAATCTAACAGAAAAACCAAACAATGGAAATTACGAAGACTCCTTGGTGCAATGGTAAAAAAATTTGCATCAATTACAAAGAAAAGTGACTCAGTGGATTCGGTTGAGAACAAGGGTGGCAGATGTGGAGGGCACTTATTGCTTAAACCTTACATAAAGATGGATGACATCATGACGTCCCTGCAGACTTGATGTGCTTTAAAACCCATGCAAGAAGAGTTTTACAATAAAACAGTTATAAATCTTACCTCTTTATTAACATATTGTAAGCAGTCTTTATAGTCCTTGATAAGCATTTCGCCTTGTCTTGGAGGCCACAGTTTAACACTCTTATCTTCTAGCCAGGTCTTAAAATAACCACAGAAATCTGCGTACGCTTTCACAGTTTCGAAGCCTCCTTTCAAATGCCCATCAATGTACATAGCAGTAACCTGAGAGGAAAGAAGAGTTTAGAATTGATTTCAGGAGTAGGATACGGTTGGGATGTACTCGGTGAAACAGATGCAATAGACCTTTTTATAATGACGTCAAAAACGGGAAAAATAATTCGCAATAGAGAGGTTAAGATACACCGAGTACGGGTACGAGTAGTGTCATCTTGTTTTACTGATGTCTGTAAGTCGATCATACTTTTTCTGTTTTCTTGCAATAGACAATGATATAATGCGAAAAATGTGCACCTTAATTACGAGTAAAGGTACAGACATCGACGAAAATATCGCTAACCAAAATCACGCTACCCGTACACGTAAACCGAAACCTCTCTAATGTAAGTCGTTCCCGAGCCGGCCATATTTCAGGTAACATAATTTGCATTGCGGATTCAGGTAGCATCATTTGCGTCGCTTAACATTGTCTCGTGGGAATGGGACATTGCATTAAGTGTCTTTGGTGGTATTACCAAAAAGGTCTATAACAGCTTACACTTTAAGCCCAACACAAAAGGCACCACGAACGCTTCCTCACCACGTTCGTAACTATAACTGCGGCGCGTTCTACATTGCGTTCCAGTATAACTGGTGTGCGATAGATTCTAAACAAAATGCAATAGATTTCTAAATTTTCTGAAAATCAACAAAAGGAATCAAGCTAACCATATACACAACTAGGATACAGCGGGGCAAAAAGACAAAAAAGTTTGTCGTGAACTGGTTTTTAAAACATTTTGGAAACTATAGTTAAAACATATATTGAACAAGGTTACAACACTTTCAACGTTTCTCACCTGATGCAACATGTAACTATGCGTGACTTTCGGCATGTGTTCTGTCAAAGCCTTGAGAAATTTGTTTCCTGTATCACGATTATCCAAGAACTGATACCATTTCTGCTGTCGTGATGAATGTAATGATAACTGATAGTGTTCCTCCAGGGCTTGTCTATTGCGCAGACATCTTCGAAGTACATAGTTTTGCATTTGGTTAATACCTCCGTGTTTGGCAAGGAATAGCTTGTATAATGATTCCCATTCGTAGTAGTTATGGCTAAAGAGGTTATCTGTGGAAGAAATACATATTATTTATTTATTTATCTGGATCCGGTTGTACTAAGGACAGATAGCGCTATCCAGCACCTTGTGTTAAAATTTAACCTGCTGTTTTAGTTTATGTATTTCTGTTATCTAATTATTTCAAAACTTCAGAGAAGAGAACTCTCATTGATCCTACAAAACGAATTTTAGGTTAACCTAGGCTAACACAAAAATAAGTTGAACTAATGAATACTTTCTTTAATAATCTGGGTTTTATCAATCAAGGAAGCTTGAAAAAATCGGGTGGGTAGCGCTATATCCGGCCTTCGTACAACCTAGTTTGAGCACACCCCTATCATCAGAGGGGGCACGCCGTCATGTTATTCCCGGTAAGAGCAGATCAAAGCCACAAAGATGCAGACTATTTCCTTTTTAATGTTCATAGATTTACTGTAGGGATTTTCAAAAGGACGGATGTACAAGTTGGGCGTAAGTGAGAACAAATATATAATATGGTTTCTCGCAATAACGGTGTGTTTTAGTCGTCAATTTGCAACTAAATGTCGTTCAGTACGGTTTCTATGTTAGTGCGAGACATGAGGACCAGCTTAGCCTATGTTTTGCGCACGAATAGGATTAAGGTAGGGGATTGGGATTAGCTTTCAGGGCGTGTCCACGTAATTTTCATTACCCACGTGACACGAATCTATATACAGTATGCGCCCCTGCTGCGAGGACAAAGTGAAAGGAAGACAAATCGCCGTAAGTCGTGGCCTATTTAGTTATGAACCTGAGCCCACTTTAGTCGTGGTTTGCAAACACATTGAACGTTCATACCAGTTGTTCGCGATGGGTTTAATTTAAATTAAGCATATTTTCGCTCGTATATTAAAAATTGCCAGTATCACTTTCTACCAGACAGGGGCAAAGGGCAAATCGTATAGGCACTTGATACTTAATTCCTAGACCATAATAATAAACGACACTAGGACGCATTCCAGTCGTTTTTCGTGCGCGCACGGAATGGTTTAATCAATTTAAAAATTATACTTATGAAATAACCAAATGAACACGACAGCATTTAATTTTGTGTATGATTTAATAAATTTAGTGCTGTTCGAACTCCGGGTTTTTCACCTCCAGCTCCGGGAAAAAAAAAACTCCTGCTGCGGCAGAAAATTTCCAGCTCCGACAAATTCGTGAAAATTCAAAATTTAATGGAAATTTCACATTTCAAAGTTTTTGATTTTAATACTTCGCATGAACATTTGATTCGTACTATGTTTGTGTCAAGCCTATATACGCAGTACCAATGCGAGTATTTACTTTTTCGTCGATGGATTCAGGTTTTTTCGCCGATGTCCGAGAGTACAGGTAGTTTGCAGCACAAATAGACTAAGTATTTAAAGTGCTGCCGGAGTTTTGCCGGAGTTGAACGAACTCCGGCAAAGTAGGCCAAAACTCCGGCCCTCCGGCGCACAGCACTATATTAATAATATGTATCTTTTATATTGAATTTTGAAAGATTCAGACTTTTCCGTGCGTTAACGTAACGCACGTGTGAAAAACGCTTGACTGGAAAGCAGCCTTACTGACTCATGTAAATGCTACTTCGAGTCATGTAAATGCTACTTCGTGTCCTTTACACAATGATATTTCAAACCGTGTGATAAGTAATTTTATAATATAGCATTTGTAAATTCTGAACGCTGATTGGCTAAGAGCCGTTTGATATAACTCTGTCAATGTCAGCACGGAAACGTCGGAAAATTTCTTTCTTTATATTTCTTCGTGCTATATTATAAAACAAATATAAAACATTTTTCTGTATTGATATATAGTTATATCAACACTCGTGGAAATTGTGAAAACTCGAAATTGTGTGAAAACACTCCGGGCGTCGTGTCTCCACACAATTTCTCGTTTTCCCAATTTCCACTCGTGTTGATATAACTGTATATCAACACGGAAAATGTTTTACATTTGTTAAATCTAAATTCACTTATGATCTTGAAACTATATGATCTTGAACTGTCTGTGCCAGTGTAGGTAGTGCCAATAATACGAACTTGGTAGCGATGCAACTACCTGAAAAATATAAGGAGAATTTCGACGTTTCGAGCGAAGGCCTTTCGAAAGGTCGAAATTCTCCTTATATTTTTCAGGTAGCTGCATCCCTGCCAACGAAAGCTTGTTCATTACATGGTCTATACTGATTATAACTTACAACTATACAGTCTATAACTTACCCTCTGTCTCATTATTTATCCTATCTAAGTCATCATCTGTTAAATTCCATATGGACTTTGCTTGACTCGCCGTAAGTTGACAAACACTGCCACTTGGAGGTTCTGGATTTATTAGATACCATACTATTACGGACGTTTTAAGTTGACTAACAGGCCTAAAAAAACTAGGGTCGTTCTTTAAAACACTAGCTTTGGTAAATAGTTCATACAGATAAAGATACGAGTATTCTAGCCACTTGGCGCGAAGATTGAAGTCAATCTAAAAAGTAAAGAGAAATGTTTTTGAGGAAGAGTAAAGCCCGAAAATTTAATAAAGTTAACCCAGGACAAACCCGGGTTAGTTGTCGAATGTCGTAGTGTAAGTTGGGCTTTATAGTTGTCCAATTCTTTAAAATTATTATTCCAAGAAAAACTATAACTTAAAAGGACATTGGAATATTGGTACTATATATATAAAGACAAGTCATTTCACGATCATGCGCAGTTGTACAATTAATAGTAACAAAATTACATCGCAGGTCAAAAATAAATGTATAATTTAAATATTGTTAAAATTATTTGAATACAGATTGTTTAATAATCTGCACAATTAGTGGTTACAAATTGTATTAATGAAGTATTATACAGTTGAATGTCAATGTTTTTGTTTGAACTCAGTCATGCACGTGCATCTGATTTTTCTACCCAGAAATTCACTTGTGGATCCAATTGTACACCATTGTATTATATATACCATTGTGTATGCAATTCACATTGCAAACATGAGTTACAGTCGTTACACTGCTTCGCAAGCTCGTTTGTGAGAATACTTGCATCTAATTAAAATAAACTGTCGAGCATTGTGATTGGATGACAGCACTCACAGTGAGCTTTCGAGTTGACTCTTGCAATGAATGGAAAAGAAAATCACTCAGAAACACTTTAACACCAACAAGTACATTGAAATATTTATAATGAAATATAATTTTGAACTCATAATATTCAACAATATATACCGTATATCATCCATTACCGCTACTGGGGGGCTTACTATTTTCCTTCAGGCACATTTGATGAGGGACTCTTTATATCGATTTCGTCAAAACACAGAGGTCAAAACACAGTCTTGTAGATGGAAATTTCGAGCGGAAGATTATAAAGAATGTTCAGACCTAACCAGGAGCACCTGCGAAAAATGCAACTGCAGTATAGGCCCTCTGTCAGAAATCGAACTTCATTCCAGTGCAGCGCTTCAACCAACTGAGCTTGCTTGAAAACAACAAGGCTTGAAAATTTAAGTGTGGCTAAATAAATTTCTTCCCCTACAACTAAAATGGAGGGAAGGGGCTTATTGGAGAAGGGGGCTTATTTTTAGAGTATTTTACAAACCGTTTATTGTGTGGATAAATTTGCTGGAATGCTTAGACACTATGGTATATGTGCAGTATTACAAACTTAATATTGTTTCAAACCTATATGTAAGACTGGGAAGACGTATTTATATTTTGATAGTAAGTTAATCGGAATGCTGTAATGTTTGTTTTTATGGCCGTAATGTGTGTATATATCATAATATATGCCAGTATAACATGCACCAAGTGTTGGTGAAGTATCATGCATGTCCATGAGTATTGTTCAACTTGCATATAACTTGGATTACTTCTACCATGCAGCTGATTCTAAAGTAGCATGCCTTTTTTCAATCAACATTGTCTAAAACAACAATAGTTCACAAATGAAAGAAATATTCCAAGTGCTTTATATACTTGATAACTTCCTTGCTATTATTCTAGAAGTTCAAATTTCATTGGTTATATAATCAAAGTATTGTATTGTTGTCATTCAAAGCACAGCTTCTCAGCTGATGATAAATGACAAAATGTATAGTTACGTACAACTTCATGGATAAGATATCTCGCTGTTTTCTTTCTGTTAAAAATAGAGCTAAGTGGAAGAAAAACACTTCTCTACCGTCGGTATTTAAAATTACAAGCTGCTATTCAATATAACCATTATAAGAGCGGTGTAGCATTCCATCAATAAGAAAGGGAAATGAGATTTGGCATGAGATAAAGGGTTTTTGCCATGGCAAAGCAAATATGCGAGCGTCAACTATAATGAAATACAAACTATTTAAATCATGTTGTTTTTACGTCCGGACTCCTGTAAATTCCTTTCAATTCGAGGGTTTTAATCCCTTTAAGGCTTAATCTTGTAAACCGCGTTAACAATAAGCTTGCCTTAAAAGCTTGGCAAGCCAGCATGTCTGTGCAAAGCGCTTTCGCGTGTAGATAAATCAATAATATCGCTTGTCTAAATTAGAACTTTCATCGCCGAGTATCTAGCGCTGTCATATGTTTGGCTTTAAGCTTAAGGGGGGCTTGTATGTAAATAATCTAAAACATTCTGTTTTCAGGGAGAGAATAGACAATAATAGCTTTCACAGATGACATTTGAGCTGCTGAGTACTGTGTCATAAAATAAAACAGGAAAAGCAACTCTTGGACATTAGCAATTTGTGGCAATATACAAGTGCAAGGCAGGCACCATAGCGACCCTTAATTAGAGAGCACCCTCGGGAAAAAGAGAGCTTCTTATTAAAACAACAAGGAAGAAATCTTATTAATATTTTCTTTGGCGTGAATCTTGTCAATATGACTCCAAATTGTCTAATGATAATACAAATGATTTTTTTCCTGAGTGTCGGAAAGGCAGAGGGCACTTCATATTACAGATATTATATACTCTTCGAATATTGTATGTATTATTGTAATCAGATGCCAGAAATAGGGCTTTCACAGCTAAAATATGGGACATTATAATTGATATAGTCATCTAATTTTCTTTTATTAGTTTCGACGGTCGAGAAAGATGTTTAGAACTATTTAGTACGTATTGAAATATCTATGCAGTCTACGCCTCGTCTCCAAGGAGTATAGGGTTTCTCAGTCTTAGTTTCGTACATAAATTGGCTTCGAATGGAATTAATAATGCTTCGACCTTGAGATTTGATAGCCTAGTCCGTATTTAATTCCCCAAAACAATCTCGAAGGCTTCACGGTGCGGTTTGGCATGAAAGAACCCGACTATAAACATTGGGTTTTAAAATAAGAGTCTCACGCTACTATCGCATTTCTCCCACCCTGTCCGAAATAACGCGTGGCTTTCGACTATACTTTATCTATTTTTAAGCTTTATGCCTGCAGGAAAACAACGCCAACGGATGCGAAGAAATATGATTCGTGTGAATCAGGCATGTAAATTGTGTCGCTAGCTTGATTGGAATCGAACGCCACTGATTCGCCGCATATTTGAAGAGCATTGCGTGTATGGAGAGATTTGCGGTGCGCTCCCCTGTGGCGCACGCTGAAAAACGTGAGAAATGTGGTACATTGTTGCGAATTGGTGGCAACTCCGAGATAAATAATACACACAGGTCTTAGCTTGTCCTTTGCCTGATTATTTTCTTTAAGTGTTTACAATGAAAGAGGATATTTTATTGTGAAACTCTTGAAGCGTGAGCAGGAAACTAGTGATGTTGACAGCCCACGTTTTGACACATTTAGCATTTGGGTAGATATTAAAGCCAAATATGTGGCCTTTCTATTTGCATTTGCCCACAAATAATGCTCTTTCCGGCGTTTCAACTGCCGAGATAATAGACCGCCTGAATCTCTTTGACACGGCGAAAATTTTATATCATTTTGAATGATGTGAAAATGTCTCGACACTAGCCTAGTTCTAGCTTGTCTAGACATACACAGCACCATCTTGTAGGCAATCACATACACAGCAAGCTGAATACGTTTTTTCAGTGCTATTTAATTGAAAGATCGCTTGAGAAGCATCTCGAATTTGGATTATGTACTGTCTAACAATCAAACACTATACCGTGCGACAGCCGTGGGAATTGATAGGCTTTCGCTCGCTCAACAATAGCGTGAGGTATATAGTCGCTAAAGCCTATAGTATACTGATTATAAACATGTCCTTTCCGTCCCATTATATTCTAGTAAACGCGCCCTGAATCGAGTTTCCTGTGTATTTCGTGCCGATTTCAAATTAGAATTCATTTCGCTTTATCTTAGCTTTGATGGCAATTCTTGAATTATAGATAAGACATGTAAAGTAAACATTATTCAAGCACCGATTCCCTCGTTGCCCCATGCAGTCAAACAGAGCGAGGATAACAACAGAAAACCCGTTTACTTATTCAAAGAAAGAATGGCCTTATCTCGACAATAATCGACCAGCTTGCACAAAATTGTTCACTACAACAACGGTAATATATCGCTATTGAGCCTCACGCGAAATTGACAACACTCAGAGGAAACCCCACAATAGCCGAGATTCACTCGCACGAGCGAGTATGATTAATTCATTGCATTATTTCGCTATGATTTCGGGGGGAATTTTGCCAGAAAATAGGCGAGAGTAACACGAATCTACCTTCTAAGTGAATATATACACGAAATATTGTTAATGCCGGTTAATACGAGTATATATTCCCTACCTTACAACGATGACGCCATATAACATCCGAGTGACACAGCCGATGAAATAAACGAGAAGTTTTACTCAATCGTATAAGAGTTCTAGCGTCAAGATATTCTAGTATTAAAACGAGCACTTCTTCGCTCAAAGTATATAGTTTCGTTGCTTCCATAATAAAGCAACAGTTCTGAGAACAATCCCGCATTTTAGTCCGTTTGTTTAAAGGGTTTAAAGTCGTAGTTCTTGGGAGAACCCGTGGTATATTGAACGAATGAATGAAGGGCTGTCGTAGACAGTTCTGTTTCGTTCTCGTATGCTGTACAATAGTCTTATCCAACATATTTAGTCCTGTGAATGGCCAAACGTTTCACACAATCCAACGAGAAACCATCCGCTCAAGCAACGCTGTTAGCTTCCGAGGCTTAATCGTAAACTGACATGACACACAATGGCAGAAATCAATATAAATAGAGCTTTGTTTTTCTTTTTTTGAACACGTGCATTTTTTGCGCAATTACGCATGCGTACGGCTCAGCTGTCTTGTCTCATTAGCTGGGAGTGGCCTCAGACCACGCACTCAAACCTCAACCCGACAGCAGGTTGTCGTTCAGTCAGTTTCCTTCTTAATCTTAAAAAGATTTCCGTCTTTTTCTGTCGAATATTCCCTGAGGCCTAACGTACGACCAATCTAATATATATATTTTGTTTATAGTTCAACTCTTTGTTACTACGGGTTAGTGTTTGAGCCTTAGAGAATCTAATTAGAAGCATCCAAAAAACATTCATGTCTGCTATTCTTGTAATATGGTTTTTATAATTCTTTCCGAGGCGGTGTAAGCTTTCATTTGTTATTAAACGCGCATGTGTGATTATAAGCACGGATATCTTAGTGTAAATATGGCTCGCTATGACTCAGCGATCACGGTAAATACAAGCCAAAGGAGTTTTTATTTCGTTCTTTCGACGCTAAGCTAATATTGAAGAGCAAATTTACGTAGCCGTTAGCACTAATCTTCTGTGATGATCGAGAGGCTTTTGTTCACTTCTGAAAAACCGCTTCGCGTTAATGACACTCATGAAGCGAACATTTGGCTCGAAAGTGGTTTTATTTTAATCAAGCATATCTGTTTTCAACATCATTTCGAACTATTAACTGCCAAGTAAACATCCATTTTCTTTTGAAACAACCATTGTGGCCACAAATGGCGTTCTCGGCATGGCCGCTTGTTTCGCTTTCCTAATTTCGCCTTTCTAATTTCACTTTGGTTGAAAGTATTTCAGAATCGTAGACTAAAAGCGGTACCGAATTGTAAGAAGCTGATATTTATCACAGCTTTTTAGCTGTGATAATACAAAGATTGTCTTATGTGTCATGGCTTTAATCCAGCCACTCGAACTCGGGTAACGCAGGCCATATGCTCTTCGTTGAGGCATATGTTCCTCGATAGCTTAGCTAAATGAAAATATCACACGCTGAGGACTTAGTGTTTATTTTTTGTCGAACCGCAAAATGAAAAGGTGTTCGTGTTGTCATAGTTGCCAATAATAATTTAGTAGCGACATGACACCAAATATCCATTCAATGCTTTTACGCTTGAGACAACAATATTCTATATTTATTATCGCTAATGTTCATATTTCCCTCTATTAGTGACTGCTCTCTTGTTATACGCTCTCTAAGTGTGTGCGTCATTAGCTCGCCCTCGAAACGGCTCCAAACAGGAAACGGATATGACTGGGAGAGAATAGAGAGTACAATGGAGGACGATTAGGGTTTTCAAGTGAAGCTAACGGGCAGGCAGTGAAATGAATATAACTGGAACGCTACTTTCAGATAAATTGAGTATCTTTTCGGACATGTTTAAACTATCTAATAGACCTTACCGATTATTCTCTTTTACCCGATGGCCTCGTTTTCATGTCAAATACTTACTCATGTTTTGTGCTTAGTAGGGTTGAAAATTACTTTGTTATTGAGCCTAAGAACAGCAAGAAACAAATTCGTCCAGTAAAACATGGGAATATAATCTGCCCCAATCTTGTTCCCCAATCCTGCGATCCTCGGAAAGGAACGCGTGGCTCTGGGATAATCCGTTTCAGGGAGGAATCTGATATTGGCCGTTGAAATGGAATGCGTAGTTCAATCTTAGCCAGGATTCCTGGGCTTCCGGCAATGGATTATCCCAGAGCCTCACGTTCCTTCCCGAGGATCGCAGGCTCGGCGAACGAGATTGAATCTGCCCCTGACATGCTAAAATAAGTTAATTAACATGGAAACGGAGGCCATTGGGTAAAAGAGAATAATCGAACTAAGTCTAAAAAGTAACAAAAATAAGCTGATGTGGTCGAAGCCATTTAAAAACAAATTCAATGAAACGAACTTTCGGTTATGCTGCTGCTAAAGTTTGGAATGAAACGGAAATAAAAACTCCTGAATGATTTTCATATAATCTTATCTGGAATCCGGATGGGGTTGGAGTGACCATAATAGACTTTTAATATCTTTCTAATATTATTTGGGTGGTTTGGGGAGGGTGAGTGGCAATATCTTATACTGTCTGTAAGTATACTCACGGCCTAATGAAAAGCAACGACAACCTTGTAAATACTTTTTAGTTGAGTTAGCTACCGTGTTAAAAGATGTTCTTAATAAAATAATTTTGAGCGCTGTTAACTTAAAAAAACTTTTTTGGTAAGTATAAGCCAGATTTCAAAAACATATTCATGTTCACACGATCCATTCACTGGGCTAGCCTTCAAGTTTGGTTCGTTCCAGTTTGGTAGCCGTTCCAGTAATATTCATTTCACTGAGACTGGGTCGGCCGAATATACTCCTTCCCTTGGGTTGAATTGATCTGAAAAAGGCAATATGCCAACGTGACAGCAATAATTTACTTTTACAGTCACTACTCGATAGGCGTGTTTCACTAAAAGATAAAATCTCGAACGGTTGGTGGCAGTGTATAGGCACCGATGAGCAAGCAAAATATTCAACAGGCCACGCCGTTGTAAATGACCTCTCACTGTACCTGTGGCATTAGACAATCATATAGTTTCTGGGATATTTCTATTTTTTCCTATCCTTGGCAACTATAGTACAAAAGCGAAAGCCCTTCGTCTGGAGGTTAATAAATAAATGACGAATCAAGAGCCTTCGTTCAAAAAACATAGGGAACAACCGAACAAGGAAACATGTAATCTTGGGGAACAAGGGAACACCGTGAAATGGGCTATTCCATTTAATATCCGTACACCCCCTGTCGAGGATACATGTTTTTTATGGTTATACCCCTGAAAAATTCCAAGCTCAAAACCTTTTACCCCTGAAGAATTCCAAAATTCCAAGCTCAAGACCCTTTACCCCCGAAGAATTCCAAGCTCAAAACCCTTTACCCCTGAAAAATTCCAAGCTCAAAACCTTTTACCCCTGAAGAATTCCAAGCTGAAAACCCTTTACCCCTGAAGAATTCCAAGCTCTGAAAAATTTCAAATCAAACCTCCTTACCCCTGAAGAATTCCAACCTCAAAACCCTTTACCCCTGAAGAATTCCAAGCTCAAAACCCTTTACCCCTGAAGAATTCCAACCTCAAAACACTTTACCCCTGAAGAATTCCAAGCTCAAAACACTTTACCCCTGAAGAATTCCAAGCTCAAACCCTTTACCCCTGAAGAATTCCAGGCAAAATGAAAAAACAAGAAACAACTGACTTGTCGGCCACTGCAATATCAAAGAACTCTGTTACGTCATCACCCACGGGAAAACGCACATGTATATCCTGAATAACTATATAAATGATTATTATAATAATATGGTAATATTTATTCAGGATATACATGAGTGTTTTTCAGTGGGTGCTGACGTATGTTTGGTAAAAACTGTTTGATGTGTATGCAACTAGTCACAAATGCACTAGTACTATCCCTAAATTTGATCGCAATCACAAGAATCGCGAACTAATAATGCAGGGATACGTTGGCATTTCAAGGGATTTTTGTGCGTATGAAAATTATTTCATACGCTTCTCATACGTTTCGCTCATACGCAATAGTGTGACAGGGCCTTTAGGCCTTAAATAACCTAACGATTAGCCGCTGCCCCGCAAAAAACGCGACGAAAAACGCATTGTATCTGGGAATAATGCATCCTGAAAAACATTTGCCTTGGCAAAAATTACCGGATTGAGGAACATGATTTTATCACACATGCTTTTACTATAGAAGCATGCCTGGCGTAATGTCTAATGACTCAAATTCTCCCTTGTTTCTGTACATTATACCTTCGGGTTTCCAGAGCTATATAGGCTTCAGAGAGTTTCCTATAAACTTCTGGCACCCAGGGTAGAGGAATATTAACTTTGACACATTAAAGATCACCAAAGGTTTTCCTGGCCTGCCTGTCCAATTTTTTCCCCATGCAGATGGTTCTAATCTTCGCTACACACGCGCCTTCGACATTGCATTTGACAAGAACTAACTGCTTCCCCACATGAACTAATTATTTCTTGGAAGAATGTCTACATTCATCCTCATTGCAGCACCAGTTCACACGTCTCGTGGCAGAGCGACATAATCATGCAATTTATAGAAAACAGAAGAACCTCATTTTCAAAATTAAGATACCATTGTTGTACTACTATCGAAAAGAATTAGGGACAAAATCTCATCATATCATACCATATTATTAATTATCATGTCAATATTTCATCGTTATGACAACAAGTTTCAGTGTTCAGATTAATCTAATCTACAGTGATTAAACGCACCGCGCAGAAAAAATATTTTACTGAACTTAAAAAAATCATGTTTATTGGAATTAATATTTCAGCCAAAACTGATATTAAGTGGATACAAAATTGCACTGAGAAAACAAAACTCATTAATTAAAGTACATTTTATGAACATGATTAATATTGAGATTGAGTATGGGGTGCATGTCCAAAAACGCACTAAATTCTGATTCAAACCAGGGCGCAGTGATTAAACCAACATAGATTAGTAAGGGCCTGCGGAGGGTAACCCAAAACTTAAAGCAAACTTCCCAACAGACAACAGTTTGTATATAAATTCGGAAATAGTTCTTTAGAAATCTTTGTGAAGACCAGTTGGCGTTTTCTTCTCGTGACGTGCAGAAATACATAAACTAAAACAGCGCGGTTAAATTTTAGCCGAAGGTTATAGCGCGAATCCAGCTTTGAACAATAGGCCCCAGATGTGGGTCTTAAATTGTGTGATTATACAATTACTTTATGGTTTCCGTGTTTGGATAGCCTGATCCAAACACGCGGGAATGTTGCGAGAGTTAAGAAAAGCGCGCGAAATCACGAACCGAAGGCGAGTGATATATATTTTCCGCGCTTTTCTTAATTCGAGCAAGTTACCGAGAAACCATAAAGTAATTGTTTTATAAAATAACAACTTTCCGTGTTAAAATTTCACTTTAAATTTCCGCGTGTTTGGATGGCCTGATTCAAACACGGGTTTCGACCAATCAGAGCACGCGTTATATAC